TGCTTCTTCTTCTTTTCTCTTCCTTCTCTTTCTCCTTTTCCTGCTCCTCCACCTCCTCGGCGCGCATGATTCGATCAACATRCCAATACAACTAATAAAATCCAAAAAATGCGAGGAGTAACCTGACGAAATACAATCTATTTGTAGTTGTATTGCTGACACAGAAGTCAAAGGAACTGTAAATAAATGTAAAGTTAACGAGAGACCAAACCTCAGTGTGATAGAGCTTGGTTTGTCTTCTCTGTTCGGAGCTGGAGTCGCCATGAGTAGCTGGAAGTGGACGTCGAATACATTCAGAACTTGGAAGAAACTCTGGCATAGGTTGGTATATCTSCCTGGTCTCCGCAGCAGCCGGTCATTGTGAAAACGCAGCGCGACGACAAGGGAGACCCAGGCGGTTATTAGCGTGGAGTGTTGGATAGTAGGGGGAGGGGGGGACAACTAATTTTGAATGGGGGGGGGCATATACAAATTTTGTGTGTTTGTTCTTATGAATTTTTATTTATTTCTATGTGTATTTAAGMAGGAAGTTCACAAAAGGGAGGGAGGCACCGGTCTTCTTGCGCCCCCCTTGGATCCGCCCCTAGCTAGCCCCCTCTCCTTTTTAGGGTTCAAAAATGTAGAAATGGTAATTATGATTATGAAATCCTACTCTGCKAATATATCTACTTTTCTCACCCGGGGATATCTATTCACAGATTAATGAAATCATAATTTTCCCTAACCCAAAATCTATCCATGTGATTTGTTTTCTTGAGTTAGCAAACCCTTTAACGTTCTGTATCCGCCATTAAACACTGATTGTGCGTACGTGTCAAGTGTTTCATTGGCTGTTCGTAGTAGTTCTTTATGATATTTTATTTTATATTTGATTAAACAGAATAACGAAAGCGCAAAGGTATCCCGAGCTCAGTCATTACAGACTTATTCGAAGAATGAGAAAGAACAGGGTTGGGTACGTAGGACATCACTATCACGATAATAATATTTCTAATAATGAATTAATAATTGATATTTATCGTTTTGCAGTTGCTCAGTCACTGGTACAATCTTCTTGCATTTGTTAAGAACCCATTTGTATCCGTGAGCCTTTGCGCGATTTCTCCCATGCAAAACATCGTCGTCTATAATTTTAAACCCATCAGAAAAGCACAACTTTCACAAACAGGTCTATTTCGAAGCAAAGCAAAAGATCGCAAAAGATCTCGGATGTAAGTGGGTCGTCTTTAAAGCACTTTATTTATATTTTAGGCCACCTGGACAAGCTGCTGTTCTCTTYAATCACGAGCCAAGACTCACAGCTATCAAAAGCGCTGAGGAAAATTGGCGAMGAAGAAAAAGCAAACTAACAGCAGCGCCTTCAATTCAGCTGGAAAGTGTTTACTCTGAGCAACAATCAGAACAGTTTGAACCTGCGGGATGTAACAAAGAAACTACGTCTTTAGCAGCTACAAAAAGTAATACTTCGGAACAAAAACCAAGAACTTTAGACTCGAGTTCGTTATATGATATAACATCAACATAGTATTGCTATTTACATTTAGATTTCTTCACCTTGAACTCGGGAATTGATTGCACTTAACCGTGCAATTGTACAAAATCTAAGTAGTACTAATTTGTACTAAAAGTGGACCTGAAGCAAGACGGTATTTAATGCTTTATTTGAATCAATTCAATTTAATTTGTGTACCGCATGCACGATTTACTAAATACAACTAAATAGAACTATTTAGTTTGTACAGTTGCACGGTTTAAGTGCGATCACTCTACCTCCGACGGAACTTTTACATCAGGAGCATACGAATACATACAASTTTGAGAATTGTTTCGTTTTAGGGTGTGTGARGTGAATTTAAAACTATTGGAGTCCCAAATGTAATTTTTGAATTGTAAATTATTTTTAATTAGTTTTACACTTGAGTGCAAACATTAAACGTGTGCGACACTTTCCACTATTTACTACAAAATAGTGTTAATTAAACAATAGAATTAGAATTAGGTTGCRTGACGCCTGACCGAAACTAAACACGGCTGCGATGAGACTACATTATCAGCAGTATTTAGTTTTGTGGTATTTATGTTGCACAGTTTTAGTGTTTATACTCTGTTACACAAAAAACATAAACATATGCAAACAGCGACTAAAACGTACAGTATGTATCTAAATCAAAAAAAATATGGCATACGTTACACAATTTTTTTTTTCAAAGGTTTATAAAATCAGTGAATACATAACTTGTGGATTAATGTAGTAAAGCTGTGTGTATCTGAGATAGCATAGCCATTGTTTCCAGTGCATCAGACACCCCCCTGGYACAGCAAATATTACATCACTTTCAACCAATCATGTAATGAGAAAAGAGAATGAATTRAGACTTTTATTGAGGCTGATAGTATTGTAGTTTTGAAATCCCTTRGCTTGTTTTCAGCTATGTATGTTGTTTAGAAAGCATTAGGTTGTGGGAATCTAGTTGCATTTGCAAGCATGGCTCTAGTTTCTTTTAATCTTCTTTCAACATTYAGAATTGTGGCTGTTGTTGTTGGGTCAGAGAATTTCAAGTGAATATCTGATGTTGTCTGTAATGGACTAATGACCTCCAATCCTTGGCCACTAAGCTGTTGTAAAGGTGAATTTCTAGGCGATGTTTTACTTTCATTAGTGTGGATACCTTCAATGTCATCATCAGAGATTTCAATGAGAGTTGGACTTTTCTCTTTGTTGTTTGGTGTTTCTTCAGTCTGACTATAGACCTGGCTAGATTCACCTATATATGTGGGTTGGCTTTCATTGAATTCATCAAGTAAGAGTCTTCTTGATGATGTAGATGGCTGAGGATCATRTCTTTTCACTCTCTTGGCAAGGCTGTTTTGGTTYGCACWTTGTACCCTYCTYTGAGGACAGGAATCATCCATGATCAATTGCTGCTCTCCACTCTGAGAAAACCTTGATAAAGTTTCAATTTTGTCCATTTTCCCACCTGAATTTCCATTAGCACATCTTGATTCCTCCAACAGTTTTACTTTGTTTTCTAAKAGMACAATACGAGCAGACATTTCATTGTTCTGGGAAAGAACAATATCTAGTTTCTCTTGCATTTCATCAACAAGAGCATGAAGTGATTTTATCTCATTCTCTTTTATTGTAGATGGCATATGACTAGGTATTAAAGGAGGTTGCTCTGTTACTGTATGTCTGACTATTTTGGGTTGTGCTACTGAAGTACTTTCTGTTAAGTCAATYAATGATACATCTGTAATCTCATTACCCCCACCAGGGGAGGAGACAGTACTCATGGMTGGTTTGTCCTTGGAATGAGACAGTGGAATTGCTTGATGACCAGATTTAGTCATTGGTGTTAACATGAGATCAGGACTTGGCTCTGGGGCASTTGTTATAGATACTGGTGCAGGGATTATCCTAGGGGGGAGGGGTAATGTAATTGTTGYAGATAATGGCTGACGACTTACATCKTMAGTCACGCCTGCATTCAMAGATCCAAAGCCAGACTTGGACATGGTTACACTGCCATTTCGCTCTTCCTCCCATCTCACATTTTTAATCCCASTTTTSAGCCGATTTRATGGTTGCAGTGTTTSATCTCTTCTTTCATTCATGTTTTCATGTCTAGCATCACTCAACCAATCAAAAYCATTTTTGTTTTCTTTTTCTTCATCTTTTCTAACCTTGAGAATCGATTTTCCTGWATKTTTAGAATTGTTCTTTTCAGGAGGYTCWTTAGATTCASTTTTTTGYTGMMGAGCTATGGTACGACCACCATWAYTAGATGACGCWGGRCAACTTTGGATTTCTTGCAAGACTTTTTGCTTAGCAACATTATYTTGCTTTTCAACTCCAGGAAACATAGATTTTACTTTACTCGCCTGTTTTTTATCTAACTTTGTGKTTTTTGKGTTMAGWTGCTTGTATTTCTCTCTGCATTTCTGCARGATSTCGCAGACCTGGATAATTTTACGTTCAGCGAAACCTATCGTGAGGAATTGTTCCCTWGTAAGTGGAGGTTTGTACTGAAAAACGTCTCGCAATATTTTGTAAACTGTTTCCATGAATCTAAGATCAGTCTTTCCATATARCTCGTAKTCCTTGGCAAAGAATTCTGTTAAATTGACGGAGAAGTCAAGGAAGACATRGTGTAAAATAGGCAAGAACGAAGCTGGAGTTCCCAARCTTAGACCTTTCAAGTTTAWTTCTCCAATCGGGTAATTCAGCTGTTTTAACTCCTTCATTAGCTTTCGTAGATTRTTCTTCACGTCTCCTGTTGCCATTCTGTTATTTGGATCTATAAATCGTGAGATATTTTTACTAAACCGTTGTAATGTTTATCAAATCAACCGCCATTTTTGAGCATCTGYGCCTGCGATGTCTCAGCGGTGATGTACCTGAAACGTCAAGCATTTTGCACAGCGGGTGTACTCACGAATTCAAAATGGCGGCCGACATTCTCAAAAACCCGCGAAAGAAAAARGGAGCTAAAAAACTAGCTAAAGAATCACCGTTTCCTGTCCCAATAGAGAGCATTACTAAGAAGGAGGCCTGCGACAGTAGATGGTTTTATTATACAGGATATTTTCGTGATAATTGCGTTGTGGTTGAAGACCTTGGGGATTTGACGTTCTTGTACAAAATGGTGCGTTTGTTTTGCTCTTTGCATCTGCGTCTTTGATAATACCATTTTTAATGTTTATGCAAAATGAATAATCATATTATGTGAGTCTCATCTTAATATGCATGGAGTGGTAATACAGTGAATATATACTTGTAAGAGATAAACAACATTATGCTTTTAATTCATATTGCTGGGGTGTGTGCAGGGGTACCGTCATGAAAGGGGGGGGGATCTCCTAAATGCCTGGAACCCCCCTGCGCATTTCCCTGACCAGGAAAGAGGTTGAAGGTCTTAATTGAATAAATGACTAGTGCTTGTCAGTTGCTATTGTCTTTATTTGGGAGACCTGAGATAAGGACCAAAATCTGGAGACTCCATTTTCTGTGAGAGCTGGCAGGTATTGTCCTTCACTATTTTGAGGAATGCTATCCAATTAACAATTCGCAGGCGGTTTTCCATTGTCTGTACTCTTATTGACAATGAAATTGACGTCAAAATGCTCAAAACTCAAGTGGAACCACGAGCGTAAGCGATTATCATTGTTTTTTTACCATAAAAAAGCTGAAAACAAAGTAAAACTTTAAAAACAAAACCGTTTCTAGCGCGTGCCGGCTCCATGCGCGTGAACGTTTCATGCGCGTGAACGTTTCGGCTCCATTCGTCATTTCATCCATCTGTCCTAGGATTGACAATGGCCCTCGACCAATCAGCGCACGAGAATTCTACAAGTTATGGTAAAATGACAGTTATGTATGAGATAGAGACGTAGGTGTCCACTTTTGGTATTATGAACTAAAAAGAAATATGATATTCATTTATTATAAAGATAATTAGATCAGATAATACGTGTTCATGAATCTTATTCGTAGGGTTTCTTTGGTAAAGGAAATTTGTCAAGAAGCAAACCAGAGTATGAAATTATCTCAGACATTTCACAAAAAGCATTTTCAAATTCAGACAAGCTCAGAAGATGTAAGRTGTAGTWATTAGAGAGTTTTAAAAGCATCATGTTTATGGCAAATGGATAACGGCAGAGCTGAACCAAATTACCTAAGAATTTTGTGCCTGGCCTYGTGCTTTATGTAGTCATTGGAAAGAGCAACTTTTTGTGATTATGACAAACTCAAAATAATACACTTTCACATTRAAACTGTAATGGYAAACCCCCAAAAAGCAAGTCACTTGATCTTTTTTGCCATTTGCAGTTTGCCGTGAATGTCATGCTTTTAAAAGCTCTCTATTATTATTTTGATCATTATCAATAACCTATAAACAGTTGACTTGATATACAATATATGAAGTGTAGATGATGGAGCATCTTTTTTGTCCTTGTTTCATTTCTGTCCAATACTGACAGTACCACCAAAAGAAAGACAGATAAGGCAATCAAAATTTAGAGAAATCAGGAAAGAAAGGTTAGATATTTAATCAATCACTCATTTGCTCACTCACTCACTAAATCCATCCATCAATCCATCAATCAATCAAGTAATCTGTAAAACATAGTCACTCAATCAGTCAATAATCAATCTGCCAATCAATCATTTCATCTGCCAATCAATCAATCAAACAATTTTGACAATGTTTTGTTTATGTTCAGACACAGAAATCATTCTCATTGGCAAAGGTTAGCAAACTTATCCGAAGATAATGAATGCCATACATCTCAAAGAACAAATGAAGAAAGTGAAATGAAGAAAGCACAGCATGAAAATGATACTTCAGAAGAAGAGCCATGTAAAAAGATGAAGATGGAAGAGGATGAAGTGGATTTATTTGAGGTAAAGTTGATCTGCTTTGTACATCATGTAAAATCATAATGCAATGCAATAAGTAACTTATTATAGATCAATCCCAGACGTTTTTCATAAAATAATTCATAAGCTGTATTGTGTTGAATTTAACTGTCTCCTCCTTTACAGGATGATTCTGATGAATGTAATGATGATAGTGATGATCTCACACATGACACCTCTTCTCAAGATGAAAATAAAACAAATAGCAGCGACAAGGATGACAATGAACTTGGAGGAGCTGAAGTTCCGGTACAAGTCAAAAAATCAGAAGTTATAGGAAAAAGTAGAAAAAAGGTTGACCCCTACAAGGTTTTTGAGCACCTTCAGTTGACCTTAGAAGAGGTATTATTTTCTCAAGAGATGTGTTGATTAGGGATCTTAATAGATGATGATGATATTAAACTAAATACAGTTATCTTTATTTTTTATGATAAATCAATAAGTTATTAATAGAAATTAATATTTATCTGATATTATTGATATGATGTTGACAGGCTTTCTTTCTATCTTATGGTCTTGGATGTCTGAATGTTTATGATGACAATAAGGTAAGCTGCCAGAGCATTGACCAGATTGACTAAGTTCAGTGATTTTTTGAAAAGCAATCCAATTTTAAGTGTTCATCAGGAAATCACTTGAAAAAGGCTGTCATGCTCCAATTATTTCTGTCCATTTGGTCTTTGTTATAAGTCCCAAACCTTGTGACATATTCTTTTGTTTATTGATACTGTAGTCATGGAAACACATGCAGTTCATGAAGAAACAAAACACAAACCTTTTTTCACTCAAATGAGGCTAATACAGAGCATCTGAGAATTTGATAATGGAATATAATAATATAATATATGTTTAGCTTATTTAATTATTATTAATTCTTTGTTTTCTACCTCTATACATTGATTGTTTTTTTCTTATTCAGAAAGCCTTGTCAATTGGTGATTTGTGGAGAGAGTTTAGTCAAGTAAAGAAAAACTTTATTCCATGTTATATTGCATATCATTACTATCGGTCAAARGGCTGGGTTCCTAAGTGTGGCATCAAGTATGGAACAGATTTTGGTAAGCTGTCGTTTTAATGTTAAATAAAAGATTTAAGCAAGTTAAATTAGACATTAGTGCATATCACGCAACTTGTTAATAGATCAATAAGTGCACTATCAACATTGCCATGCCGTGGCAGGGCTTGTCTTATCTATATTGACCAGGTTGAGCACGCTATCACAACTTACTAGCTAAACGCCATATGATTGGTTGGTTGAGATGACTATTATATTGAGTTTGTAAGACTGGTTAACTGCAACGAACTTTGCTATACGCACCACACAAACGTTAATTGCATGCTATATGCAGTGTGACAGGTGGTGATGACAGGGTTGCCATGGATACCAATACCATTCCAACCAACGCACATTTGTCAACCAAGCACAAGCCAACCTCGTACCCAGGGCTTTTCTCTTCCTCGCTATTTACAAAATGACGGACGTAAATAGCGAGGAAGAGAAAGCCCTGGGTACGAGGTTGACGCCAAGCTCATCTAATGTTAATGAGTTTAACCTCAAATTAAACCCAGTTCTAGATATCTTTACCATGATGATATAGTTTGGTGTAATCAGGTATTGTGTATTTTGTTTAGAAATAAAGCAGGCCCTTCTTTTTACTCCTCACCATTCTCCACTCAGTCCTCCCCATTCTCCACTCAGTCTTCCCCATTCTCCACTCAGTCCTCCCCAATCCCTTTAGGGCCGCTACACAGGCTATATCAATTACATCATGTTTCATTCAACAGTAATCTACAAGGAAGGAATGCCATTTTATCACTCAAGGTAAACTAGACAGAAAACTCTGATGGTATATGATATCATGTAATTTATTTTGTAATTTGATATGACAAGAACGATTCTGATTAGAATGATATAAAGAACAGAGAATATTGTTTTCACATATCGAAGATTTTACATTCATGCAACAAAGACATTTATAAGTGTTATGGATGAAGTATTTGTCATTTTTTCCAGTGTATTATTGTTGCTGTGATAGCTATAGTTCAAGCAGAATACTGCCAGGGACAATCATGATAATAAAAAATGACATTGATAAAGGTAATGATTATTAAAAATAATGATAATCATGTTATTTTTATGCAGTTATTCTGTGATAGTTCAAGTGGCCGACCAAGACTCTCTTGAGCCTGTTATGACTGATGTCTGTACACCATACACCTGGGCWGGTGCTACTGGTTTGAATAGAGTCAGTGAACATGCCGCAAAGGTATTACATTATTATTAGATTATGATGATTAAATATTTTCATAGTTTTATCAAATGTTGTTTTTTTGATATTCTATCAAGTTTTTCATTTTCTAATTCTTACMCATTCACAGCGTTTTGTGTTATTAGTGATTTAAATTTCTTTTGGTTCCAGGAAATTATGATATGCTATGTTTTGCTTCCATCAGGTGGGTAGTTTTCCTAAATATTCTTGTCTTTTGAAGTTTGTACTTTTTAAATTAAATTATACTAAAGTGACACAATCATATTACAAGTGTAGTGCACGCCGTTACATTTACATCTAACATTTAATCAGCATCTGTGGAGTAACTCGAATGTCTCCATCCTCGGGAACCCAGGGGTAATCTTCAGCCATTGTTCCTCACTCAACGAACGACTACCCCTGCGTTCCCAAGGATGGAATGTCTCACATGGCACCAGCGTAGAGAAGACTAGTGTGTATGCGTGAAAGCAGTTCTACCTGGCAGACATGAATATAATTGTGGATTCCAGCGGCTCCCAACAGAGCAAACACTTCTACTTTATACTTCTTTTGCCTACAACCATTTCATGCAAACTGTGCAAGTTATTCTCACAAAATGGCYACAACTGTTGTAGGGATTTCAAACAATTGTTTAATACCCTACATCAGTTGGAGCCATGCTACAAGGATGACTGAAGCAGATAACATGCGATGGTTGTAGGGCTGTGCTTTCTAATAAAGGCTTTTGTCCCCCAGATGAAGCTGCTTTGACACCACTGCACTCCAGAGGTGTATGAAATAATATTGGTTTTAATACCTTTATGAAGCTCCAAATGAATTATGATTAAGAATACTATGTTACACAATGTTTCTTGTAACAAACCTTGGTTTTTGAATCAACTGTTTTTCTTTAGGAATCACAGAAAAAGAGTTGTGTTTGCCTTGTTGCATACCTCGCTTTAAAGTCCAGGTTAGTCTCTAGACACAGAGAGAAGGGAATAGAAAAGAAGAAAATGAATGAAAAAAAGAAGGGAGGGAAAAATTATATGCAACATGTGTAGGGTATAGTAATAGATAGATGGGAAATAAATGGGAAATAGATGGGAAGAAAGAGCAGAAAGGATGAAGGGAAGGAGTTTGGATTATTGTTCAATAGCAGGTTGATTCCTTTGTCTTGTTTACCAGGAAGTAGTTTTAAGACGATGGATTCCAGAACGATCAAGAGAACCAACAAAAACAACATCTTGAAAGGTAAATGCATTCAATTGTTACATTTTTATTAAATTCATTAATTTTATATACAATTTTGCATTGTTTTAATTATTTATCTTGTATATCTTAAAAGCTCTTGAATCTAAAGCAATTAAAAAAACTAATACAATATAAACTTAAAACATTTATCAAATATGTATGTGCAATCATGTAATTCAAAGCATTTAAATATACAGATTTGTTACAAATTTCCACTAAAAACTTTGCCAGTACTTTGTGTTGATAATGGATTATTCAACAAGTTACAATCAGTTACTGATTGCATGGCCAGTTCAGACTTGTCCAAAGAAAACCTCACAACTGGAAAGCATACTAGATTACTTTCAGTCACTTAAAAGGTGTGTTTTGACAACTGGCAATTTGTTTGAAAAATTTTGATTGACTGCAGTTTTTGATCACTATATTTGCACATTGTCATTTTGGTGTCTGTTACAATTTCCAGATACTATATTGCACCAACACGTAGAACATGTATCACTGTCTTGAATGTTGTCAATCATTTGACTATCATTATTGAATATTACATAATATTAGAAGTTATTGTTAACAGCTATAGTTGAGTGTTTTTTGTGCTGTCGTCTTCATTCAATTCCAGTGCAACTGTCAAATCTTCATAACCCTAAAATGTCAATTGAATGATGTAATAGTTTAGAAACTCAATGGCCATTCAGCCTAAAACTATGCATTCAGTCTGTTGTTTAGCCTGTGTTTGCTATGTAACTTCTGAATTAGTTGTCTATTAACTACTGAATGAAAAACTCAATATTCAATCATGATATAATCATTTCTAAATCATTAGTCAGTCAGACATAGACCTGTCAATGGCAATCAGACAACCAACTGACTGACTAACCAATCAACTGACCAACTAATCAATCTATCAATCAATCAACTAGCCAACC